ATAATGAATGAAAACGACGTAATCTCAATTGTGAAAACGCAGTCGTATATTCGTTTAAATTACTGCTCAATAATATTTTATTTCAAAGAATGGTAATTGTTTTTTTACGGTTTAAATGTGATGCATTCAGCTGAAGTGGTGAGATGAATAGATATTTCTGACAACAGATTAGCTGTTAATTGATCTTCGTTTTGTTTTTGATGATTAGGCAAATTTAAGACTTTTAAATATGGTTCTACGAAACGATGAAGTATTAAGTAATTAAAGTTGACATAGGAAAAGTACGGGGAAAAAAGGCCAGATTTAAAATGTCAACACTCGTTTTCTCAGTGATCATTTACGCGAGAAAGAGTAGAAAAATCACTTGATTAGTTTTAAATATTTAATTGATACGGAAACAAATGTCAGCAAAGGGTATATGCCATTTCATTGCATTAAAACATAGCTTTTTTTCTGTCGATGACAAAGTTATTATAAATAAATAAAGACAAGAAATAAATATGTATACATATATTAGGTGAGTATATACTGAATCAGAGCTCTTGACATTTGCTAAACGTTCAGTAAAAACTAGTTTTTTTTTTTTAATTTCTGTTCTATGCTAATTTGTTCATAAAGTAGCCTTTAAGGTTAATTTAATACTTCAACATCACTGCTGATTGTAACCGTTTGGTTAATTATTTGCACCTACTCGCCTTGATTTCACGTCCTCAACTTTATTCTCCATCCGTCTTCCTTTTCCTTTATCTTCGCTTTTAAACTTTCAGTGAAAACAATTGATACACAGAAAAAAGAAATAAAAGGGAAGGAAACTTTAGAGCAGATCTAATTTAGGGATAAATTTTAAGTGTTGCTGCTGTTGCTGCCAATTTTTCTTATACTATTTTGTTACGAATGGATGGATCATGGGTGGGCTGTATGGGAAAGAGGATATTCAAAAAAAAGCGTAATTGGTTTTCAATCTTCGAACATTTACTACAATGTTTACAACGGACGATTTTGTAGAAAAGAATTTTTTTTTCTATTTATAATATCTATTCACTTTAAATATGCTCAGTGGTTTTTTTTTTTTGTGTGTGTGTAAGAATTGGGGTTGGAGAATGTAGGGAAAATGATATAACTGTTGATTGTACCTTTGTTTGCTGGTTTGCTGCTTTACTCGCTCGCTCGTTCGTCCGTTCATCCGCTCGGTTTCCACTTTCCTTTCAGTTTCACTAAAGTTTATTATCCTTAAATAAAACTAACTTTTTTTTTTTTTCAAGTTACAAAGTGTTGACAGTGCTTCACATAATACACATACGTTTGTGGTGTTCAATAAAGTCTGACAAATATAAATATTAACACGTGTCAATTGAATGATTTTAGAAATAGTGAAAATTCGGTACAGCGAGCAGAAAAGATAAAGATGAATTACTGTTATGTCCCATCATTACAGATACCATAAGTGTAAAGTTAGTATCTTTGGTTATCGTATGCATAAATTAATGAAGATTATAATCAGCAGTTAAGTGTCA